TGGTCGGCAGAGCTACCAATGTAAGGGTGGACCAACGTCACGTCCGCCATCAAGCCCTCGTACTGCTCAGACCCTCGATCGCGGATTCCAGGGATGTGGATATCGCCCTTCATCTTGCGGAGGGTACCTGCCGTCGAGAACGAGGATCCCCCACTGTATCGATGACGCTCTGAAGACCAGCTTCGTTCAGCATCGACCGAATCGTACGAGTGAGGTTGTCATGCGCCGTGGGAAGCTTGGAGGATCGGCGTTTGCAGGTCTGGAGATGATGTGCAGCAACGGAGGGATCGAGCTCGCGCTGACATCCATCACATTCCGTCGGACACTGGCAGATCGGCATGCCATGGAGATAGCAGTCGAGCTTCTTGTCTGCGCGGCTTCGCGCTTGGGCTGGCGGTGCCGCGTCTGGGTGCCAGCAGTGCTGGTTCTTCTCGGGCTCGTGTTTTGTGTGTGATTGTGCAGCTTCTCGCTGTGCGCTGCGTGCCAGGAGGTTCAGCTTGATCCTGCTTTGTTTTGCTTGAGGCACTTTTTACCTTCTGCCAGTAAATCCATTGTCTTGCGGCCATGAGGATGGGAGGGTACCTGCCGGCAAGAACGAGGATCCCCGACTGTATCGATGCCTTCGAGGTCGTCACTGGCGGGATTACACTTGGCGGCCTGCCTATCGGCACGGATGGATTTCATGCTAGTCAGCTCCGAGCGAAGGTTTCTACCCTCAACGAAGAGCTCTCGAAGCTCGGGCTCGTCCAGCATGGCTTCATGTTCAAGACGCTGGTGAGGGCGAGCCATCTCCAGAAGCTGCGCTTCTTCCTCCAGGGGTCTTCTCCGTTTCTCCCGCGGGTCCAATCACAGATTCGTCGCTTTGACCTCTCTGTCCACCTGGCGCTTGAGAAATACCACCGCTGGCCTTCCTCGCAGTACCTCGCCGCGCATCCCGACCTGCTAGAGTTTGCGAGGTTCAAGCGGGAGCTTCCGTATAGTCGGGGAGGGGACGAGTTCACGCCCTCTGAGGGTCTACACCCCGCTGTTTACTATACGGCTATCGCTCGCTTCCTCGCTTGGTACTCTGACCAGCCGATGTCCCGGACCTTGCCCTCTCCTCATAGCCTGGACGTTCACTGCTCGAGATCTCTCCGTGCCCAGAAGCATCCTCTGGCGACCTTCTTCGTTGAGGCGCACGACTTCGTTCATAATGCTGGAGCGATCCTCTACCGTCGTGTGAAGGCTCCTGCACCGGCTGCAGATGGCGCGGCGATCCCACCTGCCCCGGCTGCTGTGCCTGATGACGCAGGACGCCCCCCGGCATCTGTGGTACACATCCCTGGTTTGCGCGCTCTCGTCGACTCGTCTCATGAGCACTTCATTCCTCCGCCTGCGCAGCGCAATGTGACCCCTCTTGTCATGCGCGTCTTCCCTCGCCATGTGCATGCTCGCGCTGCGCTGACCGATCAGCAGCGTGATATCCTCACCTTGCACAGCCGCAGGACACACTCGCTCAAGTCGCAGGATAGGGTCTTGCAGTCTACCATCTTCGCTCATTTTCCTGAGCGTGACCTGAGCCACTCTCCGATGCGAGTCTCGAGCTACTACCCCCTCACTGAGGCCTTCCCGCACCGCTATGCTCAGATGCCTAAGGGTGAAGGGTCAGGCAATCAAGCAACAAGCAGCAGGAGCATGCAGGAGGAAGAAAATCCCTTAGACGCGATACCCGGAGGCAGCCGACTGACCACTGTCAGTCGAGACGTCCGCTGCCGCCACAAAGCGGGCGGCCGCGGACGGAGAAAGGGCAGCCGCCGACAAGGAGCCGGCGTTGCCCGGGGGTCCGTCTCGCTGTGCGCTGTGTGCCAGGAGGTGACAGGTTTAGCTTGTTCCTGCTTTGTTTTGCTTGAGGGGCACTTTTTACCTTCTGCCAGTAAATCCTATACGTCCGCCTGGGGCAGCGGACGGAGGGAGGCTGGACACAGGAACACGGTACCGCTCGAGGTAGTCCTCCTCGACGCAATAGTGGATTTACTGGCAGAAGGTAAAAAGTGCCTCAAGCAAAACAAAGCAGGATCAAGCTAAACCTCCAGGCACACAGTCCACAGCGAGAAGCTGCACAATCACACACAAAACACAAGCCCGAAAAGAACCAGCACTGCTGGCACCCAGACGCGGCATCGCCAGCCCAAGCGCGAAGCCGCGCAGACAAGCAGCCGAAGGGTCAGGCAATCAAGCAACAAGCAGCAGGAGCATGCAGGAGGAAGAAAATCCCTTAGACGCGATACCCGGAGGCAGCCGACTGACCACTGTCAGTCGAGACGTCCGCTGCCGCCACAAAGAAGGGCAATATTCACATCCCTGGAATCCGCGATCGAGGGTCTGAGCAGTACGAGGGCTTGATGGCGGACGTGACGTTCGTCCACCCTTACATACGTTGGTCCACCCTTACATTTCGGGTAGCCGCGTCTGCCGACCTGACCAAGTGGGACAATGGATTTACTGGCAGAAGGTAAAAAGTGCCTCAAGCAAAATAAAGCAGGATCAAGCTGAACCTCCTGGCACGCAGCGCACAGCGAGAAGCTGCACAATCACACACAAAACACAAGCCCGAAAAGAACCAGCACTGCTGGCACCCAGACGCGGCACCGCCAGCCCAAGCGCGAAGCCGCGCAGACAAGCAGCCTAACCGGGGTCAGGCAATCAAGCAACAAGCAGCAGGAGCATGCAGGAGGAAGAAAATCCCTTACACGCGATACCCGGAGGCAGCCGACTGACCACTGTCAGTCGAGACGTCCGCTGCCGACACAAAGCGGGCGGCCGCGGACGGAGAAAGGGCAGCCGCCGACAAGGAGCCGGCGTTGCCCGGGGTCCGCCTGGGGCAGCCTGCGGCCTATACTGACGGAGGGAGGCTGGACACGGATATCGCCCTTCATCTTGCGGCCATGAGGATGGGAGGGTACCTGCCGTCGAGAACGAGGATCCCCCACTGTATCGATGACGCTCTGAAGACCAGCTTCGTTCAGCATCGACCGAATCGTACGAGTGAGGTTGCGTGGGAAGCTTGGAGGATCGGCGTTTGCAGGTCTGGAGATGATGTGCAGCAACGGAGGGATCGAGCTCGCGCTGACATCCATCACATTCCGTCGGACACTGGCAGATCGGCATGCCATGGAGATACAATGGATTTACTGGCAGAAGGTAAAAAGTCCTAGTTGTTCCTGCTTTGTTCTGCTTGAGGCACTTTTTACCTTCTGCCAGTAAATCCATTGTGACCAGCCTAGATAGCGGTCGAGCATCTGAGCATAGCGGTGCGGTCGAGACTCGCATCGGAGAGTGGCTCAGGTCACGCTCAGGAAAATGAGCGAAGATGGTAGACTGCAAGACCCTATCCTGCGACTTGAGCGAGTGTGTCCTGCGGCTGTGCAAGCCTGTGAGGATATCACCGTCTGCTGATCGGTCAGCGCAGGCGCTGAGCGCGAGCATGCACATGGCGAGGGAAGACGCGCATGACAAGACGGGTGACAGTGGGGGGAGGTCAACCTCGCCGCCCTCCATGTGGCAGCGTCGACACCACTGGGGTGCTTGCTGCTGGTCCGAGCTTGCCTGCTTCCTCCCCGGCATGACTCGGGCCGGCATCGGTCGGGTCACGCCGGTCCTTGGGCATTGCCGCGGCGTCGCCGCCGTCACGGGCCGGGTGTTGGTTTCGGCTACCGCTGACTCGGAGGCTAGCGAGGAGGACTACCTCGAGCGGTATCGTGTTCCTGTGTCCAGCCTCCCTCCGTCCGCTGCCCCAGGCGGACCCCCGGGCAACGCCGGCTCCTTCAACGGTCGGCGGCTGCCCTTTCTCCGTCCGCGGCCGCCCGCTTTGTGGCGGCAGCGCTCGGACGTCTCGACTGACAGTGGTCCGATCGGCTGCTTCCGGGTATCGCGTCTAAGGGATTTTCTTCCTCCTGCATGCTCCTGCTGCTTGTTGCTTGATTGCTTGACCCTTCGGCTGCTTGTCTGCGCGGCTTCGCGCTTGGGCTGGCGGTGCCGCGTCTGGGTGCCAGCAGTGCTGGTTCTTTTCGGGCTTGTGTTTTGTGTGTGTTTGTGCAGCTTCTCGCTGTGCGCTGTGTGCCTGCCGGTTTAGCTTGATCCTGCTTTATTTTGCTTGAGGCACTTTTTACCTTCTGCCAGTAAATCCTATCTCCATGGCATGCCGATCTGCCAGTGTCCGACGGAATGTGATGGATGTCAGCGCGAGCTCGATCCTTCCGTTGCTGCGCATCATCTCCAGACCTGCAAACGCCGATCCCGGAGTCCAAGCTTCCCACGGCGCATGACAACCTCACTCGCACTATTCGCCGAGTCAATGCTGAACGAAGCTGGTCTTCAGAGCGTCATCGATACAGTGGGGGATCCTCGTTCTCGACGGCAGGTACCCTCCGATCCTCATGGCCGCAAAAGGAAGGGCGATATCCACATCCCTGGAATCCGAGATCAAGGGTCTGAGCAGTACGAGGGCTTGATGGCGGATGTGACGTTGGACCACCCCTATATTCTGCTGAGGTCTTGGCTCGCAAACGCGCCGCCACCTATCAGCGCCTCACTATGCAGCTGTGACGCTGGAGGCGCTCTTGTCTGGTGCGAGGCGCATGACGCCCTTGCGGGCGCAACTTAGCACTTCTCGAGCCAGAGGACAGCTCCTCCTCGGACTTTGTCGAGTCGCCCGAGGAGGAGTCTTCGCCGGAGGTCTCCGACTCCGATGGGGGAAACACTTCGAGTGGCGCCGACGACCGGCGCGGAGCTGGCGAGGCGTCTCTGTCCACACCACTGGGGTGCTTGCTGCTGGTCCGAGCTCGCCTGCTCAGCTCCTCCCCGGCATCGGGCCGGGTCCCGCCGCGGCCCGGTCCGCGGCCGGTCCTTGGGCATTGCCGCGGTGAGTAAATTGGCTCATTTAGCTGTACTGGTATCACGATGCTCGTTGCTTGCCCCCCTCAGTGCTGTCTACGTGGCTTGCCGCGCGGCCCGCGGACGGTGGGCTGGCACTGAGTGTAGACCGACTCGGAGATTTCAGTGACTGGCAGAAGGTAAAAAGGGTCTGGTTGCCAGCAGTGCTGCCGGGTTACTTTTGTGAGTCCGTACCGTGATCGCTTTTGTTGCAGTGCTGTGTGCGCCTATGCCCAGTGACGTTTTTGCTTGTTTCTGCTTTCTTCTGGCCTTGAGGCACTCGCGTGGCCGGCCCGTCAAGTACCGTCTGACCAGCCAATCATACTGCCGGGTCACGGACATGGCGGCCCTCTCCGGGGCCTCACACAGCCTGGACGTTCACTGCTCAGCCGGTCCCCCGGGCCAGCCCCCGGGCACCGTCACGCCGCCGGACTGCCGCAGTGCAGCGCGGCCCCCGGGCCCGGCCAGTTGACTGAGGTGGTTGGACTGACTCCCGTTGCCGGTGGGTTCACTGACGTGTTGATAGCACGGGAGGGAGGGGTGGGTTGCTTCCCTTTGAGGGTGGGGGTACATCTAGTAACACCCCCCCTGGCACTCCCCACCCCCCGCTAATTTTCTTCGCACGAGGAATAACCCCTCCAACCCCGAACCGAAGGTTGGAACTCCATGGAGATAGGGTAGTGTAGGGTAGGGTCAGATCGCTTTTAAAAGTGTGGGCGGGGTACTAGAGAGATATACCACCCCACCCCAAACCAAAGGTTGTCAGACAATGGCAACAGAGCAGGATAGAGGATAGAGGATAGAGGATAGAGGATAGAGGATAGAGGATAGAGGAAAGAGGATAGAGGATAGAGGATAGAGGATAGAGGATAGAGGATAGAGGATAGAGGATAGAGCATAGAGGATAGAGGATAGAGGATAGAGGATAGAGGATAGAGGATAGAGGATAGAGGATAGAGGATAGAGGATAGAGGATAGAGGATAGAGGATAGAGGATAGAGGATAGAGCATAGAGGATAGAGGATAGAGGGGAGTATCTAGAGGATAGAGGATAGAGCAGTAGAGGTGGAGGATAGAGGATAGAGGTGGAGGATAGAGGATAGAGGATAGAGGATAGAGGATAGAGGATAGAGGATAGAGGATAGAGGATAGAGGATAGAGGAAGAGGAGTAGAGGATAGAGGATAGAGGATAGAGGATAGAGGATAGAGGATAGAGGATAGAGGATAGAGGATAGAGGATAGAGGGTGAGGATAGAGGATAGAGGATAGAGGATAGAGGATAGAGGATAGAGGATAGAGGATAGAGGATAGAGGATAGAGGATAGAGGATAGAGGATAGAGGATAGAGGATAGAGGATAGAGGATAGAGGATAGAGGATAGAGGATAGAGGATAGAGGATAGAGGATAGAGGATAGAGGATAGAGGATAGAGGATAGAGGATAGAGGATAGAGGATAGAGGATAGAGGTAGCAGGCAGGTAGAAGGTAGAGGATAGAGGGTACAGGAGGTAGAGGAATAAAGGATAGAGGGAGAGTGTAGAAGGTAGAGGACAGAAGGTAGGAGGACAGAGGGTATAGGAGGTAAAGGATAGAGGGAGAAGGTAAAAGGTAGAAGGTAGAGGACAGAGGGTAGGAGTATAGAGGATAGAGGACAGAGGGTAGGAGGTATAGGATAGGAGGATAGGAGGATAGAGGACAAGAGGTAGAGCGTGAGGATAGGAGGATAAACGAAAAGAGGTAAAGCAAAGACTGAAGAGAGAGACAAATGAAAGCAGACACGACAAGCAAAGATGCTGTTTGCCATGAGACGGAGGTACCTGAGTAAGATGAGAAACTCTTACATGTACAATGCAGACCAGATCCGTCAAAAGTTGCCAGAGACACAAAAGGAAGAAGAAAGGCACACCTAATGTTCAAATGTTTCCCCTTCCTATCTAAGCAGAAATCTGCGAAGCCTTCACAAGGTAATGGTAGTTTCAAGGTTGCTGGAGGAGGTTGATGTGGTTGAGTCAGATTTTCCTCGAGAGGACGAGCAGGACACCAGCAGAAAGGTGCAGCAGGCCGCAAGCCCAAAGGCCGGGACGAGCAAATTTGGAGCAACACCAGACAAGAAAGCAGGAGACGGAGAGGATACGGCAACCAGCAGCATCCCGTCACCAGCGAGCAACGGTATCCATACGCAGGCGCAATGGGCACGGGTGCAGCTGAGCGAGCAGTCGAAGAAGCACCAAGAGAAGAAGAGCAACTTCGACTCCTCCGCTGTCTCCAAACAAGCTCAGTGGGCGCGTGAGCAGCTGAACGCGCAAGCGAAGAATCAGCAGGTGGAGAAAGAGAAGTTCGACTCCAATTCCGTCTCTCAACAAGCGCGCTGGGCGCGTGAGCAGTTGAGCGCTCGAGCCAACCAAGAAAGGGCAAAAGAAACGACCTTTGACACAGGAGCTGTCTCTAAACAAGCCAAGTGGGCAAAAGAGCAACTTAGGCTGCAGAATCAAGATGAACTTCCCAACGAGTTGTCGGATTATGACGTTTCAGGTCAAAAATCCTTGGTTCATGCAGAAAAGGCATCGGGGTTTGGAGAGGAAGAAAGCGAGGAGAATCAAGCTCAGTCAGGTAATTCCTGCGATTTCTATTTCTCTGTTTCACCATCCCTCTCGTGACAGACCTCGAACTCGTGGACTCGCAAGTTGCACCAACTCTGGAAGATGAAAACTGTTTTTCGCAAACCGACAAGTCTCTAAGCAAGTCTCCACCTGCTTCCTAGTAATGAATGGTAACTCCCTTTCATCTATTCCTGAAGCCCTCTTCTGCTGATGACTCGATCTGATCTCATTGAGAGACTCAATCTCGCCTTTTGACGACTCGTAGTTATAACAACTTCCCAGTTTCCTCTGATCTTGTTTTGTGCTTGATCTTGTTTCTTTCCTTCTTCTCTTCGTCATTCGTATATGATGTTCGATTGTAAAGCGCTTCTCCGTTTGCCGCATTTTCATCATGTTTTTGTTTTGCTGCTGGCACCTCGCCGCCGTGGTGGTTTCGAGCAAGCGCGCCTCGTTGCTCCCTTACATGTATCGGGAGTAAATTTTCCGAAAGGGGTTTCTAATTCTCTTTGCTGTGCATGCATTTGCATCTTCCAGCTGAGAAAAGTACCGGTACAGACGAGTGATTGCATATCATTTCACTACCCCATCCGCACGAATCCAATCCCAAGAATGCTCCGAGCAGCGGCCCTGACAATGTGAGTGCGACGAGCGAGCTGGAAAGG